TAATGATATTTGATAGTTATATCTTATAATTCTTTTGGAAAACTCATGACCCTTGGCTCCATGATCAAGCTCTAATTTGACTTATATATTTCTTATAAAAAGCAATGATTTTCATTTTTCATTTTAATGAAAGATTTTGGGGTTGTTTGTTTTAACATGGTCTGATTTATGGTTTAGGTTGGATTCAGCTGTGATCAGGACGGGGAGTGGAGGATTCAGGTATGATTCAGGTGCGAGTGGTGCTGACAATATACATATGTACATATGTATGTATGTATGTATGTGTAATAAAGACGGCAAAACAAGCTTATAGGAATTTAAGGCGAAAATGTTACCTCTTATTTGAAAATAATGTGAATTTTCAGGAAAGATTATTTAAAATTTCAAGAACTACGTTTTAAATATATTTATATTTTTTGGTAAATTTAAGTTATATTATTGTTGTATTGTTCTTCCCTTGTATTTATGAACATACATATATATGTAAATATGTATCTACATATAAGCATAACAAATGACTTAAGGGGAGGGTAAGGTATTAATTTTTATTTTTTTTTTCATTTTTTTTTTATTTTTTAAATTGAATGCATAATATCTGAAGAATATTGTGTCAAAATTTCAAGTCAATTAAAGCAAAATTGTTATTGTTATTAGTTATTGACAAAGTTGCTTATAAACGTTTTACACTGGATTACACTGGTGTTTAAAACTTTAAAGCGTTTTTCCCACAACTCACGTTTTCAAAGTCGGTGCCCCTCATAACTTCAAAACTACTGCACCTATCCTTTTGAAATTTTAAACACCATTTCTGTACATATTTTACGAGGTAACGCTGTCGAGTTTTTTTTTTTTTTTGTTCATAATTTTGATTTTGCAATGACAAATTAACCGATTTTTCTCCCAAAAAATTGAGTTTTTCACTTCAAAGTCTTCAAAAAAATTAAAAAATTGCAATTTTCAAAAAACCTTCACAGCGTTACCTGGGGCGTACTATTATCTAACGAATGAATTTTCATTTTTTGATTACAAATGATCCAGCACCGAGTTATGAGGGGCACCGCAATTCAACTTTTTTTGGCGACACGTCCGGACAATTGCTACCATTGCCATATTTTTAAATATTTTTTTGTAAAAATTTGATAAAACATTCTTCTAATGTCATACTTTAATATACCGTTGGTTGAATAAATAAATTTTAACTTTGTCGTCAGGAAAAAAATCACAAAAACATGGCTTTTTTTGCATGATTTGACCTTACCCTCCCCTTAAAAAATCAATTCGTTTCAAAAAAAAATGTATATGCTTTAAAAAAATGGCTGCTCTGAATGTATATTAAATATATTTAAAAATATATGGGTTTCGATTGGAAATTCTGCCCTGTACGAGCCCCAAATCTCCCCCAATTCCAAAACCCTTGCGAAAATACATATATTTTCTAATATTAAAATAAAACTCCAAAATTATATATATTGTATGTAGTTTTTAATCCATTACTCTAAGTAAGCACGGGAGACATTACACGGAAAACATAAAAATACATATATTGTATGTATGTATATATAAATGTACGTAAAAAATAATAAGTGTTTATATCATTATGTATAACTTCTCGAATATTTAAGGGCGATAATCTGATCCTGATCCAGATCCAGATAGAGAGCGATTCGAGGCGTCCTTGAAAGTTTGCGGACGGGGGCAGCAGCTAAGGACAATGGATGCGTGGGTGGTCACCGAACATGGGACGAATCCGAGAACGAACCGAAATCCTAGACATGGTCGATCTTCAGAGCGTCCACACTGGTGCCCTCTGCCTGGGCTTTTTGCGCATAGTAGCCATCGTAGGAGGTGGTGGCCTTCATGATGTCCTGCTGCTGCTGCAGCTTGGTTAGCTGTTCACAGGCGGCTGCCGCGATTTTCTGCCTTTCGATGTCCGCCTTGCGCCTGGCCTCGTTCTCCTCCAGTTGGTGTGCCAGCAGCTCCGCGGTGGCCGCCGCTCGTTCTGCTGCTGGGTCCTGGTACTGGTCATAGTTCCTCGGCTCCGCATCAGGCTCCAGCTTTCTGAAAGTGATTTGCGTGGGCGCACTGCGCTCGGGCACATGCCGCCTGTTCGGCTTCTCGTGGGTCTTTATGTGTTTCTTGAGCGCCGTCTCCTGGCGGAAGTGCTTGCCACAGATCTTGCACTCGAACGGCTTCTCTCCGGTGTGAATCCACTCATGGTGGCGTAGGATCTGCGCCTTGGAGAACCGCTTGGGGCAGAAACGGCAGGCAAAGTCCTTGACCTTCTCATGGATAATTTTGTAGTGGAGCTTCATGTTTCCTATGTTGTTGAAGCCGCGTCCGCAGCCCGGGCAGATGTGCTGGCCCTCTTTTTTGGTGAAGTTCACTTGGGGCGACCACGAGGGGACAGATACGGATGGTATGGGATTCACAGCGGTGCCCGCCAGCTGCGAAATGTCTACTCTCTGGACACGACGCGAGTTCTTCGGCTTGGTAGGCGCTTCAGCGGTCCCGCCGCCACACGCCTTCATCATGTCTTCGCCCGAACTCGGCTGCAGTTGAGCCAGACCCGTAGGATCCGCTGGCATCTGGCCTGGAATGGGAATGTTGAGCTGCTGACGGTGCGGCTCCGACGGCGGAAGATCCCGCTTCTCGTGAGTCTTAAGGTGCTTCGTTAGGCTCTTGTCGCAAAGGAAGATCTTGCCGCATATCCTGCACTCGCAGCACTTCTCTCCAGTGTGGCTCCTCTCGTGCACCTTGCAGGCGTGAGATTTTCCGAATGTCTTTCCGCAATATTGGCAGGCGAAGTCCTTCCGTTTCTCGTGCACCACCTTCACGTGATTGGACAGGGCTTGCTTGTTGTGGGACGCGTGATCGCACTGTCGGCATTTAAACTTCTTCTCCTTGGTGTGCGTGAGGATGTGGGCGTTCCACTCCTGCCTGGTGGTCTTGCCCACCCCGCAGTAAGGACACACATGGTTCTTGATGCCAGCGTGCCGCATAAGATGGTCCCTCAGGGCACTGTTGATCACGAACCGTTTGCCGCAGATGTTGCAGGGGTAGGGCAGCTCCTCTCCCGTGTGCTTGTACATGTGCTTCTTGAGGGCAGTGGGACAACGGAAGACCGTGTCGCACTCGGGGCATGGGAAGTCACGCAGTGGAGCTGCCGCCTTGGTTATGCCGTGCACCTTCTTCATGTGGAACGTGAGCAAGCGGACGCGCGGGAAAGTCTTCCCACAGCCCTCGGCGGGGCAGGGATGGACTTCAGACAATTCCGTGTGGGCGTGGTCGATGTGAATGCGCAGCCCATTGGCAGTTGTGAATCCTGTAAAGCCATAGGTACATTAAATGCAGTAAACAAGAATTCAATGGGAGACATACCTTTCTTGCAGGTCTCCACCTTGCACTGGAAGGGCAGTAGATCATTGTGGTACTTCATGTGCTCCTCGTAGCGGATGGCCTTCTTGAACTTCTGGTGGCAAATGTGGCAGTCAATGATGCGGTGCAGGTGACGCTCATCGGGGGGAATCCTCTTCCGCTTCGGCTTATCCCGCGATGTACCGTCACCATCGTCGTCAGAGTCGTCCGATTCGGAGGAGTCGCTTAATTCGTCCAATTCCTCTTCCTCCACAGGTTTCTTCTTAGGCCTGCCTCTGGGTCGTCCCCGGGGCTTTCCTTGGGCTGCCTTGGGAGCTGACAACGTCGAACCCGGCCCCGTTTCCCGGATGCGCTGGGCCAGCGGAATGTCGTCGTCACTGCTGTTGGGTTCGAAGTCCAGGTCGCGATCGTTGTCGTTACCACTTTCGTCGGAGGAGTCGTCGTCGAACATCTTCAGGGAACCGCTCGGTTTCTCATCCTCCTCCTCTTGCTTCTGCACCTCCTCGGCCTCCTTGTCCACGTGCTCCAGCATCTTAAAGACCTCCTCCTCGTTCTCGATCAGCTCCATTTTGTGGTTCAGCAAGGGGTCGTAGTTGATGTGGTCCTCCTCCTCGCCGTGCATGTCCTGCCCGGCGATGCTGGGGTCCAGCACATCGAAGTTGCTCTGGCACACAAAGGCGTTGCTGGCCACCATGTCTTGGAACTTCTGCACCGAGTCCACGCATAGCTTCTGGAAGTCGTGCAGGTCGTTAAGCCGAGTATAGCACTGGGTGCAGATGTTCTTCGGGAACCCGTCCTGCGGCTCTACGGACAGGGACGTACACAAGCAAAGTTTTTTCGAGAGTCCCGGAACTAAATACAGGTCGTAGGCGGCGTCGTTCTGCAGGTGATTCAGGCAAATCCTGCACAAGGTGTGTATAGAATAGGTGCCCGCCACGTCCATCTTGGATTCTCTGACGCGACACTTTGAATCGATTAATTTTCTTCAACTTTTTGCGTTTCTGCGGCCAAAAGAAATAAAAAATAATATTGACACAGAAAAAATTGTATACTCGTCAACTGTCGAATGGGCGAGTGGCAATAAGACATGCCAGTGAACTACTCGCTAGATATAAATATTCGTTTGTTTTAATTCTGACAGGTTGGCAGCTCTACAAACTAAAAGCAATTAACCCACAGTGGGTGCCCTGGAAAATGTTTTTTTTTTCAAATATATGTAACATATATGTTTCAAAAACGATTATTTCCTCCCATTGTCAGTAAAAAACCATAAGCATAAGTTTTATTTGACAATTATCTATATTTTACCAAAAAAAACCAACAACAATGTATATCTAGGGATATATTTAGGAAAATAAATGTTTCCTATTTTTTCAAAAAATTAATTAAAATTTTAATTATTATGCTTCTCATTAATTTAACAATGTTATAATGTAAATACCTAGCTGTAGACTTTCAAAAAACTTTTATTTTATTTAAAATTATAGTAAAATTTATAATAAAAAATATTATCCCTTGTAATCTATTACCATGACATTTTAATATGGTTTATGCGCATAAATAAAAATATTTTGAAACAATTATGTTCGATTTAAAAGCCTCCTTTCAAAAGATGGCTAAAATAACGGGATGACTCGGTCACACTGGTAACCACACTGTAACTTGTTTGTTTTTTTTAAGCTTGGATTGGAATCTCCAGAAGATTTGGAAGTCATGGACACCAGGGACTACCAGGTCGTCGCACGCCGACTATGTCGCGTTTGTCTTCTCGATTTGGAGCAAGCGTTTGGGCACGATTTGTTCCTGGATCCAGAGTTGGCTAAGAAATTCACAGTCTGCACCTCGGTGGAGGCTGATAAGCAGGACGGATTTCCAAGTAACCTTTGCGAAAGGTGCTATGGAAAGCTGAACGAGCTCCACGAGTTCAGGGAACTATGCTTGATTTCCAGGCAGCGATTCAAAGAAATGTTGTCTAGTAACTTGGTTACTTCAATGGAGGTATTTGAGCCTGCTAGAGAGGATTCCGAGGCGGAAGATCCCGGCAGCTTCGATCCCCTTTTAAATAATAAAATGGAAGTTATTGGCAATGAGGAGGAGGTGTTCAAAATGCTGGAGACGGTGGATAAAGACCCAGAGGAGCATAGAATCCCGGACGAATCTTCCAACAATGAAGAGGAGGAAGACGAAAAGCCCAAGCGACAGTACAATCAACCTAGAGAGCGCCTTCGCGTTCATCTTATTACATGTCCCATCTGCCACCAAAAGTTCAAAAAGCAATCCAAATATGAGGAGCACATGAAGCACCACAATGACTTGTTGCCCTTTCAGTGCTCAGAGGAAACTTGTAAGAAAGGTAAGTTCCGATGCATTCGTTTTCCAAACAGAATAACCAACGTTTCACGAATTACAGGCTTCACCACTGCGGGAGCACTGCGTCTTCATATCGACTACGCTCATACGAAAAAATCCAACGAGATCCCCTGCACCGTGGAGGGGTGCCGGCTGCTGTTCCCTCGCCTCCGTCTATTGACGATTCATCTGAAAAAAGTGCACAACCAGACTAGAGTGAGTGCTCCGCGTGGGGACCAACCTTGTCGCGAGTGTGGGATGGTCTTCCGCTGCCCTGTGGCGCTAAAAAAGCACATGTACAAGCACACGGGCGAGGAGCTGCCGTATCCCTGCAACATATGCGGCAAGGGCTTCCACATAAACAGTGCTTTGAAAAATCACCTTCTGCGACATGCCGGGATCAAGAATTACGTGTGTCCCTACTGCGGCGTTGGGAAAACCACCAGGCAGGAGTGGAGCAAACACATCCTCACCCACACGCAGGAAAAGCAGTTCAAGTGCCACATCTGCGAGCATGCCACCCACACAAAAAGAGCCTTGGACAGCCATGTGAAGATTGTCCACGAAAAGATCCGCAACTTCGCCTGCCAGTATTGCGGAAAGACTTTCGGGAAATCGCACGCTTGCAAAATTCACGAGATGACCCACACGGGGGAAAAGCGTTGCGAGTGTAAGGTGAGGCATTCATGTTTTTTGTTTAATACATTTTTGGTAACTTGCTGGTGTTGTTGGCAGGTTTGTGGCAAGAAGTTCCTCTACACAGAGAGCCTGACTAAGCATCTAAAAATTCACGAGAAAAGCGTGGAAAGAGCTTTGGAAACCTATCGGCAGCGGCACGGGAAGGAAGACATTACCGAAGCAGAGGTGGATGCGGATCAGTTGCTAAAGGTTTGCGCAGAGTCTGTGGCGACCATACCCAAGGATCCACGGCGCGTGGAGCGAGTTGACCTGGCCCAGTTGGCAGGGACAGTAGTTAATCCTATCCCTACCATTCATCTGCCGCCCAGCGAGATGCCCACCCGGACGAAATTCGTCCAGAAGGAAGGTATGCACTTATGCCCAGGCTGCGGCCAAGGATTCAACAACTTGGGCAACATGAAGCGCCACTACAAGACCGTTCACGAAAAGGTTAAGGACTTTGAATGCCGCTTCTGCGCCCGCCGTTTCGCCAACTCGCAATCCTTGAAGCAGCACGAATGGATTCACACCGGCGAAAAGCCGTACGAGTGCAAGAATTGCGGCTCGCACTTCCGCCAAGAGGCGGCTCTCATCCGACACCTAAAGGTTCACGACAAGAGACCGCCCAAACCCCCAAAGCCGCACAAGGAAATCACGCACAAGGCGCGCCAGAAAGCCATCCAGAAAAGTGCGCACAAGCGGAAGGTAGAGGCCCTCAGACAGGAGATTGCCGTAGTGGCCAAAGAGGAGCTCAAGGATCTGGAGAAGCAGCGGGCACTCGAAAAGCAGCAGAATACCTATGAGCAGTATCAGGCAGCGGCAGCCGATTCCAAGTCCACTTAAAAATAGTTCGTTCCGAACGACTTTAAACTTCCAGAAGAATTGGAATTCCTGTATGACTGTTAATATTTAATATATACTTAATTGTTAACTTAGTTTTAGATAAGTTATTAAAAAAAATATATACTTCGGCTTTGAACTAAAACGCTTGATTTGCTTGGTTTTGCGATTTTTTTTATTTTTTACTTTTACTTGCTTGTTATTTTGATGAGAGAGTGGCGTTATGTTATCAAATGAATTCATGTGATAGATGGAGTGATGGATGGATGATAATGATTAGTTTCAAACGATATAAAATGCGATCAAAAAAATCTACAAGTAGATAGCAAAAATTTTGTATACACTTAAATGGAGCAAAATGTTCCCTTTACAGTGGAAAGTGTCTTATGAAGCAGATGTCATCCGCCTGCCGCTGGAGAGGATGATGATGGTTTTAGGGGGCCTCGGGGGTCTTCAGGTTGTACTTTGCCTTAATGTTGTTGAGCTCCTCCTGTTTCTTGTCCATGTCGACGCGCTTAAAGGCCTTGTTGGACTGGTAATAGAGCACAACCAGGTAGCGGTTGCACACGTTGAAGCCAGACAAATGGTCGCAGGCGTTTTTGGCATCAAAAATGTCCTCGTAGACAACAAAGGCGGTGCCGCGGGTCTCCGGAGTGTTGCCTCTGCAAAATGTCCATAGAAATTACACATAGAAAATGGTTTTTTTTTAAACAGACGCTTCCAACTCACACTCGAATCTGGCGAATGGCTCCAAACTTGCCGAAAATGTCGTACATTTCATCGGAGGTGATTTTGTACGGCAGGTTTCGCACATACAACAACCGATTCACCTCCGGCGGCAGGCGGATCTGCAACACAAAAATGGTATTCACATTAATTAAATGTCCTTTGTCTGGAGTTTAGTTTTTTTCTCACATGGTTGCGCTTATTCATGTCCGACCTCCTCGGAAGCTAAGAAGCAACAAGGCAAGCTACTTTCACTATTCGGTCTGGAAAGCGAGAGTCGGCTTTGTCTGACCCGGGATGAATGTCCTGAAGCGTGCTCTGGGTCCTTTGTTTGAAATTAATGACCTCTTCTGTCTGGCCTCAAACCAAGAAACACAAACAAAATTGACAATATGAGCAACCAGCGATGCCAGACAGGCGATGACAGAAAGCTAGTGATGACAGCTATCGATAAGAAAAATTTGGATATTTTTTTGCCAAAGGGGCAATATTTTTCTACAGCAATATAAATAGATTGCAAAAGTGTTTTCGAAATAGTTTTGCCAAAGATTCACTAAATCGATGAGAAACATCGATGTTTTAATCAATGTTTTTTTGAACCTCTACTGTTGATGCTGATTGATGATTGATTTAATTTAAGACTTTAATTTTGTAATTTACCCTTTTTAAAGTAAAAAAACGTTTTTTGTAAAATGGCGCTGCCATTTAAATACCAAAAAAACGGAATTTTTCTTTTTCTTTGACAGAACGCTTAAAGTTCCATCTCTAGAAACGACATTTTTTCTGGCCGTACGGTCACACGACTCTGTTAATTGTGCAAAGAAAAGGTGAAAAAAGAGAAAATTGTTGAAAAAGTCGAAATAATTCCAACCGAAATAGTTTTATCGCTCAGGCAACAACCAAAGGTAAGTAGAGGCAATTGGTTTCGGGGATTTTCAACCGGGGACATGGAAATGCGCGTGCGAGTTGGGTGCCGCGGAACATGGCGGTGGAAGGCGGGTTTGTCTCGCGATTTTTTCGGGGCAGAAAATTGCACGCCCCTTGCGGGGAAGAAAATTGGCCGCAGCACTGAAAATAAACGGGATTGGTGCTGTTTTACAAGGCAGATGATGTAAATTTCATATCAGCAGACTTTCAATGCTAGTATGCGTCAGTGGCCTCGAAAAATGTGTTGCTGTCTCGCTCGTCCGCTTAGCCCCCTTCCGGTCGCTCCATTTGCTACCCCTTTCGAGGTTATTAACCCTAGATTTTAAACCAATCTCTTGGATCCATCCGATCTTCTGCAGCAGCAGCAAAATGACGTGGGAACCGCAGGGCGAAGGTCTGCAACAGATCATAGCGATCCTCAAGGAGTCGCAGTCCCCCGACACAGCCACCCAAATGGCCGTACAAATGGTGAGTAAGCCGTAATCGCACGAAAGCGTATCAGCCCACACCTGTATTTACTATTTTTGCGTCCACAGAAACTGGAGGAATTCAACCGATATCCTGACTTCAACAACTATCTCATCTACGTACTCACCAAGCTAAAGACAGAGGACGAGCCCACACGATCGCTCAGCGGCCTGATCCTGAAGAACAACATCCGTATGCACGGCAGCACTCTGCAACCGGAGATTGTCGAGTATATCAAACACGAGTGTCTGCAGGCAGTGGGCGATGCCTCGCCTTTGATCCGCGCCACAGTCGGCATCCTTATCACGACCATTGCCAGCAATGGCGGTTTGCACAACTGGCCACAGCTGCTGCCCTCGCTCTGCGACATGCTCGATGCCCAGGACTACAATGTCTGCGAGGGCGCATTTAGCGCATTACAAAAAATCTGCGAGGACTCTGCCGAGATCCTGGACTCAGCAGCACTTAACAGACCCCTGAACGTCATGATTCCAAAGTTTCTTCAATACTTCAAGCATAACAGCCCGAAGATCCGCTCTCATGCTATTGCTTGCATAAATCAGTTCATCATAAACCGATCTCAAGCGCTAATGCTGAACATTGATACTTTCATCGAGAACTTATTCCACTTGTCCTCGGACGAGGACCACGAGGTGCGCAAGAATGTTTGCCATGGACTGGTTATGCTGCTGGAGGTGCGCATGGACAGACTCATGCCGCACATGTCGCAGATCATTGAGGTATTTTGTAATTATTTCCATTGAATGCATTTCTATAACTGTCTTCTGTCCAGTACATGTTGCTGCGCACCCAGGATTCCGATGAGGGTGTGGCCCTGGAGGCTTCTGAATTTTGGCTGTCGCTGGCAGAACAGAGCATCTGCAAGGATGTCCTTGCTCCCTACTTGGCTCAGCTGGCCCCAGTGCTAGTGCGCGGAATGCGCTACTCAGAGATTGACATCATCCTACTAAAGGGCAATGTAGAGGAGGACGACATGGTGCCGGATCGCGAGGAGGACATACGTCCGAGATTCCACAAGTCTCGCACGCACACGATCAAGAGCGGACAGGAGAGCGGTGGCCAGGGTGCCGGTGCCACAGGCGATGATGATGATGACGATTTTGACGACGGACTGGATGACGACAGCTCCCTGTCCGAGTGGAACCTGCGCAAGTGCAGCGCCGCAGCCCTCGATGTCTTGGCCAATGTGTTCCGCGAGGACTGCCTGCCCATCGTGTTGCCGATTCTGAAGGACACTCTGTTTCATCAGGAGTGGGTGATCAAGGAAAGTGGCGTTTTGGCACTGGGCGCCATCGCTGAGGGCTGCATGCAGGGCATGATCCAGCACCTGCCAGAATTGATCCCATACCTGATCTCCTGCTTGTCGGATAAGAAGGCTCTGGTGCGGTCCATCACCTGCTGGACTCTGTCCCGCTACGCCAATTGGGTTGTCAACCAGCCGCACGACCAGTACTTGAAGCCGCTGATGGAAGAGCTTCTGAAGCGCATTCTGGACTCTAACAAGAGGGTTCAGGAGGCGGCTTGCTCAGCATTCGCAACACTCGAAGAGGAAGCTTGCACCGAGCTGGTGCCGTACTTGGAGTACATTCTGAAGACCCTCGTCTTCGCATTCTCCAAGTATCAGCACAAGAACTTGCTGATCTTGTATGACGCAGTGGGCACTTTGGCCGATTCCGTGGGCCATCACCTGAACAAGCCCCAGTACATTGACATCTTGATGCCGCCGCTCATCGACAAGTGGAATCTGCTCAAGGACGATGACAAGGACCTGTTTCCCTTGCTGGAGTGCTTGTCGAGCATTGCCACAGCCCTGCAGTCGGGCTTCCTGCCCTACTGCGATCCGGTGTACAGACGCTGCATATCTCTGATCGAGCAGACCATCAACCAGGAAATGGTAGGTCCAATGACTTACCGGATTACGACTTCGTTTCATCCATGTACCATTCTAGCTCTGCAAACAAAACCAAACCTTTGAGCATCCCGATAAAGAGCGCATGATTGTGGCCCTGGACTTGCTATCCGGTTTGGCCGAAGGCCTGGATCGCCACATCGAAACTTTAGTGGCCAACAGCAACATCATGCGCCTGCTGTTCCAATGCATGCAGGACATTTTGCCAGAGGTGGGTTTTCTTGTCTAATTCTTGTTAATTTTTTATAATTATTTCCATTCTTCAGGTGCGCCAATCGTCCTTCGCTCTGCTGGGCGATCTGACTAAGGCTTGCTTTCCACACGTGCACCCCTTCATGGCCGACTTCTTTCCCATCCTGGGTCAGAATCTGAACCCCGATTTTATCTCGGTGTGCAACAATGCCACCTGGGCCATAGGGGAGATCTGTATGAAACTGGGTAGGTAGCCCTTCCGAATTAGTTTCTGGATTTAATCTTAACTTTGCGCACTTTTATAAAAGGTGAGGAGACCAAGCAGTACATACACCTTGTACTCAGCGACCTGTTCGTCATAATCAACCGCCCCAATACGCCCAAGACTCTGCTGGAGAACACAGGTGAGTTGCTGCAGCCGATCTTTTGGCTCGCCGAGCTATACGGGCTGTACGTTGTATGTCTATATACCCGATATGATTCTGTATGTATGCGTGTATGTGGAGCTCTGAACATTTGTTTCTGTTTTAGTTTGTGTTACTTGTTGCATGGTAAGCAGCAACGAAACCAAATCGAACTCATTCCCATACAACATGCATTGAATTTGGATTACCGATAATCGCCATTGACACTAATCGGAGTTTAGCAACGATCAGTCAAAGCGATATATATATGTGGTATTGATTTATTCAGTTGATTTATTTCTTCTTATTTTTTCTGTTCTTTTAGCAATAACAATCGGTCGTCTAGGTTATGTGTGCCCAGTTGAAGTGGCTCCTTTTTTGCCCGATTTTGTACGACAGTGGTGTGTAACACGTTTTATATTAAACTAGCTTATTCTTTCTTTCCATTCCCCTAACTTCCCTCCTCGCCCTACCTCTGATTCCCTTAAAATTATGCTTAAAGCCTCACAATCCAACCCAGTCATTACTTTGGCCTTAATAATTCTGTAGCTCATACTAAAAACACTATATCATCATTTAACTGGACTTGAAACTTTCCTTAAGACTATAGTCTTTCTTCAAAGCTTGTGCAGATGCAGTTTTTTAATTTAATAATATTAATAATTGTCCGAAATCTGAAATGCAGGTGCACGTCGCTGCGTCACATACGCGACAACGATGAGAAGGACTCGGCCTTCCGTGGCATGTGCCACATGATCACAGTGAACCCAGCCGGCGTGGTGCCCGACTTTATATTCTTCTGCGATGCCATTGCCTCGTGGGTGAATCCCCCACAGGATCTTCATCAGATGATACAGAAGGTAAACTATATGGGATTGCTAACAAACCTCTTTGCTAACAAAAGGCTCTCCTCTATAGATTCTCCACGGCTTCAAGACCCAGGTGGGTGAAGAGAATTGGCGTCGATTTGTGGAACAATTCCCGCCAACTTTGGCCGAGCGCCTGGCCACCATGTACAACATCTAAGGCCGGCAGATCGAACAAACAGCACCACCCACCTGCACTCGCTAGCGATCTAAGCAGCCACTTCTTAACTAGACAATTATTTAAAAGTATGCGTAGTAAGCCAGTCGGTGTCTCTGACCTTTAGAGCTTTAAGTTATCCGATTCGATGCTGTTCGAATGTTGCGTTAATATTGAAATCTAAGCTTATAGAAAGAAAAAAACAAAAAAAAACACACAAAAAAAAAAAAAGCAATTCGTATAAAAGAAAATTGCATAACCATACATATAACCACAGACATATATCAATATATCCAATAGAGAAGAGCTAACCCAGCCAGTAGGCAGTCGTCTGTCCGTACTTCGAGCATGCCAAATGCCAGAGTCCAACCATTGAGGTGGAACTCAATGGGCAAACCGTAAAACTATGTGTTCCGGCCGTACTTAACCGGAGTCAGTGCTATAGATATACCCAGTCCAACAATACACTCAGACCTAAGCCCCCAAAACTGTGATCAACGCACGGGTGTTGATCACACCTAAAAGGAATCTGTAAATCTCTTCGTAACTAATGATATTGCGGGTCGTGTCGCGGTAAATAAAACTAAAGCTAATAGTAAACAATCGTCTGGTGAGGGCGATGCGTTCGTTGGGGCGATTCTAAGATCAAGATCGAAAGAAATAGCTGGCATATGCAAAGAAAAAATTACAAATCAAAAAAGACTGATGTTTAACCAAACTCCGTTCAAAACCACAGACAGCATTCAACAAAAGCCGATAGGAATTCCCCAACTGAAGGCAGAGCTTTCATCAAATAACAATCGAAATAATCGAAATGAAAAATCGGAAAAATCGCGGAAAATCGTCGCGTTTCGGGTTCTAACGGTTTCGCGTTCGCGTATTATCGTCGCTCGTTCGTTCGTTCGTAAATCTCGTAATCGTCGTGTCGTGGTATCTCGTCGGGTAAACTGAAAATGAAAATGAAAGCAAATAATACAAGGATAATAAATAATGCAACTGTTACTGATACAAATTTACTTATACACTACATGATATTCATATGCTATACAAATTAGGCATGTTTTTAAGCATTGTGAAAGCGAAAGCAGATAGGGAAACAAACTTAAATTGAGATTAGGATTTCGTTGGGTAACTTATTTCATTTTCGATACTGTGCGATTCTTCAACTGAATGCGAAAGAAACCATTGACTGATCACATTTTAAAGTATTATTATATAATTTGTTTGTGAATAGGGACAAGTGTAATTAATTATTCATTATTTTTTTCACTTTTTTTGTCGATTATTTTTCAATAATTTTAGTAGGGCTGTCTTTTGCGTAGTCTTTATAATTTACCATTTTTGTGTAGGGAAAAAGTAACTTTTTACGATTGTACGATTAGGTGTAAAGTTTAATACTAAATGGAAACAAAAGTCTTTGAAATTGTCGCGGAACAACTAAAAAATAAAGCTAGGGAAAACCAAACTCAGTCAAACTAAAATATGAACAAATGTAAAAGAAATGCAAAAGAAAAACCAAGTAAATCTAAGTAATAGTATTATGTAATTATGTTTTTATTTCATTAAAAAAAGGGGGAACGTGTGATAATAAAGTAACTTCGGGTCGTTCGTTCGCGTCGCGTTAATCTCAAGAAACTAAAACCTAACAACAAGGGACTTTCGCCCCCGAGTCCCAAATAATAATCGAAAAACTGATAACTATAATACGGTCTAACTAAAAGGAAGAGGCGTAGCCTGTCGGGCAGGCCATCGCCGAAACTGAAACTAAACTAAACTAAATGAAAAATCGTGATTTCGTTGTACCTTAATCCGGATTCATCGCGGAATCCGGTCGCGTTCGCGTGCGTTTGTATCTCTCTCGGGTGATCTTAGTGATTAGCGTTTAAGCAGTAAACTAAAAGAACATAAAACAGATGTAACACACCAACACTCACAACACCATTGAACATATACACCACTGATACATATATACAACTATAAAGAATATATTTATAGATTTTATGCGAAATAGGTTTTGTTCTATGCATATTATTTTCAATACTATATAGTAGGGTAAACCGAAACAAAAACAAATACGAGTAGGGATGTTAGGTCTAATTAGGACGAAAAAGGAAAAGCAAAAGCAAAACGTAACAAAGAGCAGGAAGATTCGATCGATGTGCAGCAATAGGCCATTATTGTTTCATAGCCCCTACAATAATCAAAAGCATGTAATTAAACTTAAGTTTTGAGAACCAACCAACTGTTTTAGACACTTTGGCTTTTGTTATCTGTTCCAACTCTAAACGAATCAAGACCAATACTAGTTAATGTTGTTTTAATAACACACACTCACGTATGTCGTAACTCAGCCCACAGGTCTAATAGGTTCCCAACCTTTAACCCTCTTTATCTGCCAACTTAAGATTTAATCAACTCCAATCCAATAGGTGTGACAATGTCTAAATACACGCTCGTACACACTAAACATACATACGCATAAATATACATTATGAAGAGGTACATGCTACTATGTATAATCCCCCCATATAGATATACGGATTCGAGACATTGGCAATTGATCATTCTTTGGAGTCTAAATATTGTTTAACTGTTGCTCCATATCCAATTCGACTATGTGTACATTGAAAGTATATATCTGAATAAATCTGTATGTATAATACGGCCTTGCTACCTTTTCTGGGATGAAACATATGGGATGTTTTGGATTAAAATCATATTTATTGAATGAAAAAATGAAAAATATTCCAAATAACTTGAAGAGTTATCGAAGAGCTACAAGGTATTACAAGAATATATGGCTTTAATAGATTGGCACAGAGCTTGACTTATAGAGTAGAGATATACGACTGGCGGTTATGCTGGAGATCCATTATCCTGGGAGTCCAGACATCCTCCCCAGACCCGTCGATTTTGTTCGTTTTAGGTTTGTTCGTTCGTTGTCCTTTGATTTCCGGGTCACATAAATGTTCCTTGGCAGTTTTCCATAATTGGTTAGTTTGAATCGTTAGTCCCTTTCCGTTCCAGTGATCCTTTCGGCTAGTTCGTTGGGCAGTAGCCCTGCCAGACGTCTCCGTTGATCATATTGGGCGTGATGTGGATGGCCTTCTTGTTGATTTCCACCTGACTGATGCATCCCTTGAAGGTCTTCTTGGTGGCTATGCCCGGGGCCTTGTTGAAGAACGGATGGCCACCCATGAAGAGCGGACGGTTCGTCTTGGTCGTAGCTGAGCCCTCGTTGCCCACGCCCGGATTCGAGCTGATGAAGTTAACCGCAATGTTGATCACGAACTTGGACTTGATGGCCTGGACGTTGCGCGTCTGGCCATCGCAGAAGCTCTCGTCATTCGGCAGCGTGAAGTTGGTGGTAATGATGTTCTTGGGATCTGATTTGACGGTGAAGATCAGCGTGTTGTCCACCAGCTCGAGGACCGCGTAAGAGTTCTTTCCGTGCGCGGAGAAGAGCAATCCATTGGGATCCCTGGGCCGGAAGTTGAAGCTGATCGACATGTCCGAACCGACTGAGAATCGATCGAAAAGCTTGGCGTAGGACGACTCGCTGCTAAAGTACACGCCTCGCTCCACTTGCTCCGAGCACGGCACCACTCCAAAGTCCTGCGGCGGCGACTTTATTAAGTCACTATCGAACTTTATATCTTGAAGACAGCCGTTGTAGAATGGCGCCTCCGTCCGGAAGGAGGTGAGGTTCTTGACCTCCGCCTCCAGGAATTTGTTGATGCCGCCGAAGAATATGGGCATCTCGACGGCCAGCAATGGAGCACTGCGGTCAGGGATCAGCTCCACTGATCCCGGCTGCTCTTTCTGATCCACAATCAGGCTCACCTTTCGACTGGTGCGCACCGCTTCCACGGTGTGCCAATTTCCGTCGTTAAGCTCCGCTTGACTGGTGATCTTCGCCTGGAGCAGCTCTCCAGCCCGCACTTCATGGGTGACTTTGCCGTCCAGGAGATAGACGGCTATGAAGTCATCTCGCTGCTTGCTGCCTGCGTAGAAGAGCAGGCCGTTGGGGTGTTCCGTGCGGAACGAGAAGCCGACGTCGTGGTGCCGTTTCAGCTTCACCGGCAAAGAGCTGATCTCCAGTCGCTGCTCCCGCACTCCATAGAAGCGGTAGCCCGCCTCTGCGTAGGTGACATCATAGTTGGGCTGCCCTGGCAGCTTGCAGCGAAGATCGTTTGGCAGATTCAAGACGGCTGGTGGCCGGGTGGTCAGAGTTCTCTGATTAGCGAGGTCCTTCTCTCTCTCCCGTTCCTTCTCCTCGTCCTCGTCGATGGGGATGTGTGCCTGAGCTGTAGATGTGGTGGCAGGGGTGGTGGTAGTGGTGGTGGTAGTGGTAGTGGTGGTGGTGCGCGCTGTGGTAGTTGTGGTGGGAGGCGAAGTTGGCACCGTCACTGGGTTGTAGATGGGGTTGCTGTCTTCGGGGTTATACCAGGGCTCTACTATTTCGTTGGCTCCACTGGGGTAATAGCTGGGTACCTCGCTGGGGTCGTAGGCTGAAAATAAGATGCAATTGAAAAATAGCCATTGAGGAGTGATGAGATGCAACTAACCCAGGACAGTCGGAGGACAGCTATTGGTGTTGCCGTTCTTCTTCTCCACACTGTTGGCGAAATTGATGATCTCGTTGTTGACGGTCACGTCGCTGATGCAGCCCACGAAGTAGGCCGTGGTGGCCAAGGCATTCCTGGGGGTTCGGTAGTTGTCGGGGAGTCCGGCAAAGAATATGTCGCCGCCCTCCAATTTGGGTTGTTGCGGCGAGGGAAGTCTTGGGAGAAAAGCATACGTTAGTGGAATAAATAATAAAAAAATAAGGATCGTCTTACTCCTTGGCATCCACATCGTCCACAGCTAGTCTCAGCTTTCCGTGGCTTTGCTGCACCGTGACTTGGTGCTCCTCGCCGTCGTTGAAGAGTCGTTCGTCCACCACCAACTGCCGGCCCAAGCTATTCAGCTTGAGGGCTCCCTCGTCCAGGGCCAAGCCCAGGGTGAAGCTCTGGTTGTAGTTGGTGGCGTAGAAGAGGACACCCGTGGGCTGGCGGGTCCTGAATCGCAGTTCCACGTATAGGTTCTCGCCGGAGGAGATCTCGTTGACGCGCAGGAAGCCAAACTCGTGCGGGGCATACGACAGCACTGTGGAGAACTTGTCGGCACAGCCCTCCTCCACGCCAGTGCCGTTAACGTACTCGGTAAGATCCACGTGAACCAAGTTGATGACCACGTCGTCGATGCATCCCTGGAAGCTGGGCTGGAGATTCAGGGTGCTATTTGGTCGTTTGGGATACCCGCCGAAGAAGACCCTTCGCAGGCGAGGCAGCTCTCCGTCGGCTTCCACCGGCGCCGCTTCCCGGGCAAGTACTATGTCGTCCACCTTGAGCAGGCCCTGTCGGTACTCGCGTTCCGCCACAACCTTGTGCCACTGGCCGTCGTTGTAGCGATTCTGGTTGGCCGAGACCAATCCGCCCTCGCCCAGACTGATGTTGAAATAGATGGCTCCGTCGATCATTTCAATGGACATGTAATGCTTGTCCCGTCCGTAGAAGAAGAGCAGACCGTTGGCCGCGTCCTTGTCGGCCTTGAATCGGAACTCGACGCTGGATCGGTTCCTCAGGTTCGAGGAAGTGTTCAGCTGAACATAGCCGTTGCCCTTGAACCGTAGACCTGTCACCGGGCGCTCCTTATCCTGGAGAACATCGCGCTCCTGGGCACCCTCGTCGTTTTCCTCGCCGTACACAAAGTTCCACAGTCCCACTGGCTCGTCCCCGATCCTGAGGTCCTCGATGACGCCGTTGAAGGAGGTGGCCTTAAGGTCTTCAGGAGGATTAAAATCGGGCGCCGGCGGATAACCGCCTACGAAGAGACGACTGTTTCGGTCGACGTGCAGGATATTCTCAGGACCCTCAAGATTAGCGGATGCCGGATACTCCTGTATCTCTCGGTTGGCCAATTGTTCCCGGATAGTGAGTTTGGCGTTAGGACCCACTCGGTCCACCACCGCCTGGTACCATTTGCCGTCCGCCACGTACTTCGGATTGGTAATGCGCTCTGCCCCACTGCCCATGTCGATGGAGAGGATTGGGTAGCCATTCTGCAGTTCTACGGCCACGAAGTCGGTGTTCTTCTGGGCGGTCTTGTTGTCGTTGCCCAGGTACAGAAGGAAACCATCGGGCTCCGTGGTGTGGAAGAAGAAGGAGAGATTGGTGCGCGTGGCGAGAAGCTTGGCCTTCTCCGGTGTCTTCAGCTCGAGAATGGTGCTTGGCTTGAAGTTGACGCCCACCTTGATCTTGTTGGCCGTCTGACGGGCAGTCTCCACCTGGCGTTTTAGGTTCTCGATGTCCTGGCCAAGCTTCGCCGTCTGTTCACCGACATGTTGCTGCTGGTCCTCCACGCCATCGGCCAGTGCGTTCAGATTAGAAATGCTAGACTCCACGTTGTCCAACTGGTTGTTCGCCTGCGAGATGTCCTTGTTGGTCAGATCCAGATGGCGCTTAATGTTCTGAGCCACCTCCAGTTCCTTTGGTGTTTGGGCACTGACCGGCTTCAGAATGTCCAGGGCGTTCTTTAGAATCTCGAGGGCGTCGCTGGCATTGGTGTTCGAGTTCTTCCACATGTCCCTCTGAGACTCCGCTGGCAGTTGATTGATCAGGATGTTTATGTCCTTCAGCTGTTCTTCGGTGACATTGTTCAAGTCGGATATCTTCTGGACCTTGCCAGCCGACTGGTTGAGGCGCGGCTGCAGGTCGTCCTGGACCTTCAGGAGGGATTGGCGCGCCTTCTGCAGGAGCTCTGCCGACTGGGAGTCGGCCTGGCCAGCGCGATCTTCAATGCCGTCCGTGATCTGTGTGGCATTGCCAGCGGCTGTGATGGCATCCTGGCTGAACTTCTGAGCAGCTTCGACGGCCTCAACAATGCCGGAGTAGGCAGTGGCCGCCTTGATGGCGGGCTCGGCCTGTGAGGTCATGTCCGCGTATTGGAAGGCCAAGTCCTGGGCCTTGGCAGCGAGTTGGGCTGCCTTAACCTCGGCTTCCTCCGTGAGTTTCTCCGCCTCATTGTGCTCCTCCTCTCTGGAGGGCAGTTCGTCGTCCACCTTCTTATTAACGCTGGCCAGTTCGTTCAAGGCGTCCCTTAGGTTGTCCAGCCGGTCCTCAATCTGGTTGAGAGTCAGGTCCCCATTGATCAGGAAATTGCCGGCCTCATTGATGTTCTTCTCGGCCTGCTGCTGTTGCTCCGAAACGGTGTCGAACTTGGAGTTGTCGAACGCCTTCTGGTTGGCTATATTCCTCAGCTCGACATCCGCCGATTGTTCCTGCGACTTCTTGCTCCAGTCGAACAGATCTTCCACCTTGTCGCTGAACTCTCCGATGTCGTTCATCAAAGCGTGCAAGCTTCGGTTCTGTTCCTTGATCGGAAGCACCAAGGTGTTGACTTCCTCGTACAGTTTCCTGGCCTTTTCCAGGACTTGCTCGTTGGGCAAAAGCTCAATCTTCGTGTCGTTTATTTGGGTGAGGATCTTCTGAGCCTGCTCCAGAGCCGCATCAATTTTGGTGCTCGCTGTGGCCTCCAGATTTTCTGACAGAGCCTCCACGGCTGAGATGGCCTCCTTGGCCTGGGCGGCGCTCTTGACCGCCTCCTGATAGGCTGCCGTAA